TACGATAACGTGCTGCATACCGAGCGAGCGACGACGAACATCTTGACCGCACGTAATCCGAGCTTTGCATGAATAATTCTTTCTCCTGGTCCGAGGGAATAGCTGTATGAAACACGCTGGATGTCACCTGTGGTTCCCATGGTTCCCGGTTGACCAAGGACGCCATTCAATGGCTGAAGAAATGTGGTCCGCAACCCAGGTCCCAGATGCGTATCTCGTTCCCACTCCAATCCAAAGCCGTCAAACCAACATTTTCCTGCGTCGCGGATCTATGCGCCTTGGATGCCGACGGTACAGTGTTGTGTTGGTTCATCGGAGAAACGATGGGAGCTCTGTTGGGATCATTTGTTCGGTGTCCGGTCGCTGCGACCAGCGTTTCTATTATTTGCTCTGCTGTTTCGTTACTGGCAGCCTCCTGGCTGCAGGCTGTTGAATCTGACATGCTATGCCATCCGGCCACCTTCGAAGAGACGGTGCTGGCGAGACGGTGTCGGTCCTGCGTTCAAAACACATACACCTGGTGAGCCACTATTCGATGCGAACTTGGCTGCAGTTGTCGCTACGGGGCATTGCTTCCGTCGGGATTGGCGATTCCATTCAATGGCCAGACGGTGCCTGCATCTTCCGTGCGCGGATCTCCCCGCATCCTATGATCTGTAACGCGAGCACTGTGATTGGTGATCCAGGGTTCAAAGCGGGTTTCATGGCGGACAGCTGCGGAAAGGCTGTGTGACGTGTGACATTCCTCTTGCTTTCGCTCCACCATGACTGGCGTGTGCATGGACTGAATTGTCTATTTTATCAGCTCACACGAGGATCTTTCTACTTCCCCACTGAGCACTGGTGCCGACTGCGCGTTGGTCTGTCGCCGACGGTGATTCCGCCTTGGTCTGAACTGAGCGGACTTGGATTTCACGCGCCTCACTCAACTTCTCCGGCTCGAATTAGCGATTTGCGTAGGACGATGCCTGGTCTTCCATCTCAATTTCCTGGTGCCTGGTCTCTCTCGGGACCATTGTTCACAATTTAAACGGTGAGCCATATTTAAGTCAAGCTAATCTTCTCACAACAGCATGCTCGGTCCCTAGGCAATTCCCGTCCGTGGTCTATGAACAGAACATTTGATATACATACCTCCAGCTAAAACTACCCTCGGATCATGCTTCGAATCTGCTCCGGCTCCTGTGCATAGGTTCTTTCAGTCTCACATCCCCCTGTCGCCTCCCTGTTCGCTCATCGCCATTAATAGCCCCTCGTCAATATACTCTGTTTGACATGCTACCAAACATATTCGCAAGTCAACTGTGGCCATCCCAACAGTGAACGGGAGCTCCTGTGGAACGGAGCAGACTGTGGGCCGTGCGAATACACGCTGCCTCGCAGTTATAAAAGCCAGCGGAAGGTCGACGATTCAGCAGTGCGTCGCACACCTTCACCTGTCTTTCCCTTTAGTCGTCTTTCCTTTCCAATGGCTTTCACCCTTCTCATCGCTCTTTCTGCTCTTTCTGCCTCGGTGCGGGCCGCGCCCGCTGCTGGTGCGGTCTGCCCCGACGGCACGCCGGTCGGCAATGCCGCCTGCTGTCCTTTCATTCCAGTATGCTCCGACTCTTTACTATGTGTTTGAAGCTCTGTGCTTACTGGGTTCTTCAGCTTGCCAAGGATCTCCAAGCGAACCTTTTTGACAATCAGTGTGGCGAAGATGCCCACGAAGTCATCCGTTTAACATTCCGTCCGTCCTCATCTTTAAAATTGCCGGACTGAACCTAATGCGCTGCATAAGACGATGCTATTACAATCAGCCAGAAGGGTGGTCCTTCTGCGTTAGTTCCTTTTACACAAATTTATTCTCCTCGGACTGATGGTTGATTAATTTGCAGGGGCGGCGGTGCCGACGGAAGTATGCTACTCTTCCACGATGTGAGTTTCAGCTACGGCGAAATCATGTTGGTGTCGAGACTCATGAATCCCCAGCAAGAGCCCGACTTCCCAGGGAACGAAGGCATCGACGATAGCGTCGATGCGTTGCTCCCGTTTTTGGCCACCCATAATGTTAGCGCCGGTGACCTTATCCAGTTTGCGGGTATGTCTCAAGTGCAGTCAAACTCCGCGGATCATATGTCTAAAGTATCTCTCAGGCGCCGTAGCCCTTAGCAACTGCCCCGTAAGCATTTTGCGATCCCAGTGATTCACAGTTAATCATCGACCGAATCAGGGTGCCCCTAAGCTCGAATTCCTCGCCGGCCGTCCGAACACAACCATCCTTCCACAACAACACTTGATTCCTGTAAGAATTGAATCTATCCTCGCAGTCATGTTTCTGAATTGGGTTGCAGCTTCCGGAAGACAATGTTGACTCCATCCTCGCTCGCATGGCTGACGCAGGCAACTTCTCTCCCTTCGAGGTTGTCAGCCTGTTATCTGCGCACTCGATCGCGCGCGCAGACAACGTCGACCCAACGATCAAGGCCGCGCCGTTCGACTCGACGCCCTTCATCTACGACACGCAGGTATTCCTGGAGGTCCTGCTCAAGGGTGTTGGGTTCCCCGGCACCGGCAACAACACGGGTGAAGTCTCGTCCCCCCTCCCGCTCGGCGACACCCCGACGGGGACCGACGCCGGCGAGCTGCGCCTGCAATCGGATTTTGTGATCGCGCACGACCCCCGTACCGCGTGCTACTGGCAGGGATTCGTCAGTGCGTATCATCTCCGCCACACATGTCAACCGAAGGTTAACTGGCGTCCAATCCAACAGACAAACAGGCCTTCATGGCATCGAGCTTCCAAGCTGCTATGGCCAAGATGGCGGTCCTCGGTCATAGTCGTTCGGCCTTGATCGACTGCTCCGACGTCGTCCCCGCTACAGTCACGACGGCCGTCAAGGGCGCCAGGTAAATATAGCTGATCCGACAAATTGTCTTCATCTACTGACAGACGGCAGCTTCCCGGCAACCAAAGGCCCGGCCGACCTTGAGCTCACCTGCACCGACCCTTTCCCTTCGCTTACCACTGACGGTACCCTTGTTTGACCGCTTCGTCCGAGCTTCACACTGATGAAATTACAGCTGCCAGTGGTGCCCAAGAGACCCTCATCCCTCACTGCCCGGACGGCAGCGAGGAATGCGGCTAATTCTTCGGCCCCGCCACTGGATCCCTTCACTCTTAATATTAGTCTATTTAGATTAACTTATTACACGCGTGTGGAGACCTGTATCCATAGTCTATATCCTACCTCTAAATCCTATGTTTGTCATGTTTCTCATGATGGTGGCAGCGACGTTGGTGCTCTCACCAGGAGTCCAGGTTTATCTATGCGATTATAAGGCGAACTAAAATTAAAATGGGGTTGAAACCTTCAAGACAATAAGTGCGATCGAAGATTCTTGCTCCTTCCAGTGCGCACGGGTTCATCTAACGCTGACTTTGGACTGGTCCGAGTTTGCCATCTGGTAACTGCCTCGTGACGGTCTCTGCCTTTCATTCGTCTTCCACGTCTGGAATCCGCCTGTGGAATCTTGGCTTAAGCCTGTCTACAAAGCCTCGTACTTGATGAAAGGTCGTCCTCGCGATATTGCGACATGCAGCAGCGATGCTGTGCAAGGCCGTCCGCGCGGGGCTCATCGCGTCGGAGAAGACGGGAGCGGCCAGCGATTGCGACGATGACACGAAAAAGTGCTGAGATAACACGGCGGCAGGCCTCCCACATCTACATCCGCTGCACGCGTCGCGGCGCGACACCGCCACTACGGGCGCCTCGCCCACGACAGCACTGCGAGTACATCCGCTCCACCCCGTACACGCCCACCACGAAACACTTCGCGCAGCCGAGCGCCACGCCGCGTGTACACGCTCATGAAAGAAGGTATGGGCATGCGCCCCGCCCATACACGCCCGCCCCGCCGTGAAACACCTCCCGCAGCTCAGCCTCCGCGTATACACGCCACCGAAAGGCCCCCGCACGAGACCGAGCTCTTCGATCCCGTCATTCAGTACAAGCGGTGCTGGGCCCGAGCGGTACGCCCGCTCCTTCTGTTCGCGCACTCAGCGCTCAGCTAAGGCCTCGTCGTAAAGCATCCAGACATGCACTGTTGCAGGATGACCGGACCAGACGGTAGGCAGCCCCGCATCCGACAGCCGCGTATGGCACGTCGGTATCGCACTAGATGCGCCGAAGAAGAGCATCCGATGTCACGACGGCGAGCTCGCGCGGCTGCCGCTGCCGGGGATCCAGGGCGAGGCTGCGTGCGGGGTGCCCTCAAGCGCGAAGGTGAGCAAGCAGCTCTGCATGCGCTCCGTCTGTGATCCTCCTGTCGGAGAAGAAGGAGATGCACACCATGACGAAGACGATCGGGGCGCGAGGATACGCAGGCGAAAAGAGGTCGTCACTGCGCGCGGAATAGATTAATAATTTAATAGTCGCCCACGTTCAGAGGCGCCGGCGTTCCAGCACTGCTGCTCTCCCAGTCATCAGAAAGCTGGGGCAGACATCGGGCGATTGGGAATACGTACCGGTACGCGGGCAGCGGATGCCCATGGGATACATCCAGAAGTCTTGCGTTTGTTGTGGAGGGCAAGGGTATGCCGGACCTTTCGGCCGACGCCCGATTCGGATCCGGAAGGAGGATCATTCGATTCCTTACCTCGACCCTTCATTCTTGAGTCGTGTACCGGACGGCGAAGAAGTCACTGCGATTTCAATATCAGCAGGAACTTGAAGCACTCAGGCTCCCGACATCCGAATGATTGCGGCGAGAAGGTTCGCGTTGTTTCTTGGCCACAGACTAGTGCGCCTGGCTAAATCTTGCTCGTAGACTCACGTCTAATCCTCTACAGAAAATCGCATATGGTGCGCGGTGCATCCCGCTTTAACTTGTAACCTATGCAGATGTACGGGTTCGACTGCCGCGAGTTCGCTATCTAGTATTTTCCTTCATTTGAACGAGTCCACGTGGAGCATGCTGAATCTTGCCCATGCAATCAGGTTCTAATGCTCTGTGAGAAATCGGACGTGGTGCACGGTGCACATCCCTTCAACCTGAGTAACCCCAGGGATCTAATTAACAGCGGGAAGCCCGGGTTCGACTCCCGGCGTCCGAATGAGTAGTCTTCGCCCGCTTTTTCTTCGCTCGAGCAAGTGCTTCTCACCCATCTTGTGTCCCTACTTACTCAGGATCTAATGCTCTATGCGGAATCAAATATGGCACAGGGTGCACTCCCACTTGGAGCTACCAATATGGTTTAACCCGGGCCAAAACCCGCGTTGGTCTGCGGGCGTCTCGACGATTACAGCAAGTTTGCCGCTCTCCAGGTATCATCCCTAGCTAACCCTTGATCATAAACTCAGGCTCTAAAGCTCTACAGAAACTCGGACGTGGTGTACGGTGCACGACACGTGAGCGGTAGACATTAAGCGATACCTACGAGAGGACCGGGTTCGACTCCCGGCGTCCGAATGCGAATGGCACGCAAGAAGCAGTTTTTTTAATTGAGCTTCAAACTGGCGCACCTCGCTAAATCTTGCTCAGATTTTCAGTTGCGAATCCTCTGCAATAAGTCGGACGCAAGAGGTGGGCGCCGGAAAATTCCGAGATATCATGCTCTTTTCAAACTCCGCCTGAACGCGGTCCGATCACGTTTTGGACTTCCACAAAGCTATTCTCGACTTTCGTTTTGCTGCCCCAAAAGCAACCTATTCCCCAAAGCTAGTTGGGAGACCCCCCCATTTTCACCCCTTCCGAATCGACGAGTGCCCATATCTCCCCCAAAACTTTGGGCGAAAAGGAAGATATGAATTTTCTGCTTTGGCCCGTCGACCGATGTTTGGTCGCCACGTGCAACCGCGCAAACAATGCGCCGAACGCAACCAACCTTTTCTTCACGCAAACAGGTTGTATAAAATTCGTACTACCTGTTAGAGCAGTTTAAATATCGTTCCCTTTATATTGGGGCTGCTTACCAAAAATCCCCCATCGGGGTGTTTGAGATTCAATGCAACCCGCCCGAAAAAACACCCATTCCGTGTTTAATACGGATTACTAGACCGTGAAAATTGGCGAAGGGCCGTGTTTAATATACTACATCCCAGCTGCATATGGCTCCGGGCTAAGTAATAACGGGAACCTACCAGACTCGCAAAAGATATGGCTCGGATATCGGTCCGCAACCGGTCGGTCCGATCAACCGCTCGCGTGGAGGGGGTGGGGGGGGTCTATTTCAAATGTCCTGGACATCGGAGCATGATATCCCGGAGTTTTCCGTTGCCCACCTCTTGGTCGGACGTGGTGCACGGCGCACACCCACCTCAGTTATGTGACATTATTTGCAGTAATAGAGCGGGAAGCCTGGGTTCGACTCCCGGCGTCCGAATATAGCGACAGCAACGCTTTTTCTTACGGCCGATGCGCCTCCCTAAAAATTGCTCGTGCATTCAGACGATAATATCTTTAAGAATTCGGACGCGATGCACTGTACTCTCTCGCTTCGGAACGCCTTCTCGCTTTTCTGCCTCTTGACCGGAAGATTGACTAGTGTGCTCAACACCCACGTCCATTGCTGTCTAGCAGCCCCCGACCTCTGGCTTTTCGAAGCCTCAAGTTCACACTACCACGGCACCGAGCTTATACTTGGAGGTTGGCCTGGGAACTTGCATTAATCTCCGAGCTCTGGACTCGGATAGTGCTACCAGATTTTATTGTTTCGCCGCGAGCCAGGAGAACAATGTTTGCTTGTTCATTTGTGAGTAGGATTTAGTCGTTCTCAACGTCCACAGGGTGCGAAAAAAAGAGATGGCCCTGTCCCGGATCGAACGGGGTCTTTCTTCAAGCACCTTTGATAACTTTCACAATTCAAAACCGCTTGAGAAAAATTCAGAAAGAGAGAAACCTCTCCAAGCTATGGCCCAGCCCCGAATCGAACGGGGGCCTTCTGCAGACTAGCTACACCAAGCCCCGGAAAGTCTACAGATGCAGTGCAGGCCTTATTTTTTAACACTTTCGCCCTCCAGATATGCACCTGACCTGTATTAGGCATTCTCAACGCGGATGAAAAAAAGAATCCGTGCAGTACAGCAGATAGTTGTGCACCGAACCAACCGGGGACATTCTGATCATCTCTTTATATCTTGATCTCGGTTGCAAAATGCAGGCAGCTCTTGGAACGGCCTGGTCCCGGATTGAACGGCGACCTTCTCATCCATCAGGCAGCTTGGATAAATATTTGATAGATGCACTCCAAGTCCTATACACTTTCAGCCTGAATAGCGCACTACCTGTGAGGTGCTTCAAGTGGTTCGCGTAAACAAGTTGCATGGTACCACTCCCTGGCCCCGGCTGTCCGAACTGCCCCTTACTTTCATTTCTTCATCCATTGTGACAGAATGCTCATCTATCCAGTTGCGTACGCAGAAATTCGGACACTTACTGCCCGGATATATACTCCTCTACGGACGCTTATCTCGGCCGTTCGAATAGCCAGAGGGGTCTGATTTTTATCTTATGCCCGCCGGAAATATATATGCTCGCCTATCGGTTGAAGTTGGGGAAATAATTGGACAGGGTGCGCGATATACGGCCGAAGTTGTTTTGCCTCTGGCTTGATTCCGGGTACGTTGAAGGATACAACAAGCTGTTATCGACCAGTGGCAAGTCATTCTCGCAATGTAGATTGTGAGAATTCTACGTCAGAGAAAGACGGGGGTTCGACTCCCCTCGACAGCATGAGTGAAAAGTGTCGGCATTTTTTTTGCACTCAGCATCTATTCTTGGCTAACCTATGATACCTTGAAGAAATTTGAGGATATTAAGCCGTCCTCAAGCAGCGGAAGACCATTCTCACAAAGCTTCTGTCTTCCTACCATTTCCATTCGAGAGAGCAGGGCGTTCGAGTTCCCCCAATGGAATTCTCACTGGGAGATGTCTTCTGCCGTATAACCCCGGTCACCCGATTGCCCGCAATCTCAAGTCCATCACACGCCTTGGTTGCATACCTCTCCAAGAATACAGAGCACGCGAGTAGATGGGGGGTCCCTTCCAAGTCAGAGAGTGTTTCCTACCACATTCCCAGCGATTTCAAGCGAAAGTTACCATCTGAAGGGAGAACGTATGGAACACCAGGTGCTCTAGAACCCAATCCACAAAGAATTCTAGTCTTCGAGTTATTTGAGCTGCCGACATCTGATCCACACGGTTCCAATCGCCTGAACGTTCACGGTCCATGCTTCATCCCGGCGAGCAGCAAAAAAAAAGAGCGGCCAAATTGAAACGCCGAAGACTGGAACGCAATATTGTTATTGTCCGTCGAGAACATACTCGTACAAGTAATGGCATCGTCAAAGCATCGTCGATCCATATCGGAGAGTTCCGTCTACCATATCCGCTGAGGCTAAAGACCTTCTTTCGAAGGTAGGCCTCTGGGCCTAGACCAAGATAAATTCCCTTTGTCCGAAAGCAGATAGAAAAGGATGCCGCTCAAGGCATTGGCAAGTAGCTCGAAATCACCTGCGCCAGGTTTAAGGAGGGAAGAAGGGACGTTGCCCTGGACTCGGAGGAAGATAAGAAAGACATAAAAACGAGCTCGGCGAAGTTGGGCATTGAAAGCGGAAGGAATGACGAGTTAAGGAGGCAACCTTCAGCCTCGCAGTATAAAAAGCTCAGTTTGACGACAAAGAGCATTCAGATCACCACAAAGAGGCAAAGGCAAGCACTATGATGATATGCCAGACAGAACGATGGTGCAACAATCAAAGAGAAGTGTCTGCAGCACTGCCACTGATGATATGAAACGCGGCTGTTCCCGATTGGTTCCCGACTTCCACGTTGTCGGTTCTCAAACAAAGGTCGGTTCTCTAGCAAAGCTCATACATGCCAGTCATGCAGGCTGCACGAGAGGCATCGTTTATTTCGCATTTTCAAGGCAACTGACTAGCTTCGGCCCCTCGTCCAAATGGCCACAAGCGGAAAGGTTGCTGAACTCAGGCCTGCAGGGACGATGGCGCCAATAGTACATTCCAATGCCAGAGGTCGCGCGAATCCCTCGACTCAGCGTCCAGTACTTATCGGCGACTTATTGCTCTGCTGCTTTCATGGATCGACTGGGATCCGGAACTCCCCGCAGGCCTCGAGGCGAGAAGCTAGATCTCTAAAACATCCGAGGCTTTGTCCAAACTTATCCCCATGTCGCCGCCGATTTCTTTATAAAAGCCGCTGGCTCCTTGCGTCTCTTCTTCTTTCATACCACCACATACCCACCCACATTCAAAGACCTCACCTCACTTTCTCTTATCTCTTTGACCAAGTTCCCTCCAGCGCTTCTCCGCCGCCATGATCCCCCAGGCCAGCGCCCTGAAGAAGCACGCCGAAGCGAACAAAGACCCGTACGACGAAGCCAAGGTAACGCCACTCGCCACGGGCGTTATTGCCAGCTGACATGAAAACCTTTTAGTACGCTGCCCAACTCCAGCAACTGGGGACCGCGCTTGTCGCACAAGCGGAGCGCGCTTCGGAGGTCGGTGTACCGCTGTGCAAGTCGCCGGACGTTAATCCACACGCCGAACCTACAGCTGCACGCCGAACGTACAGTGCTCCAGCAAAGCCTTTTTGACACCACGCGCGCAATGACAAGTGATCTTATCACTGCGAACAAAGAGATGCAAGACCTACAAGAGGTGAGTCGCGTCGCGCTCTTTTAGATGGATGGCTTACTTAGATTTCCAAGCGGCTTCACAAGGCCGAAGTGGACAGGGACGCGGCCGAGTGTGCTCAGAAGGCAGCGGAAAAGACAATGAAGGCACAAAGACACCCACTGAAACCGGTAGGCTGTCGCGTATCATCTCCATTTTGCCACCGTTCACCGCATCCTGTAGATTTTGAAGCCAAATCAGGCCGTCCCCACCGCGAGTCATGTTGAAGCGGTGTGTCCCAGCATTGAATATTCCTTCCCGCTTCCTGAACGCACGACCAGTTGTTGCACCAAAATTCAAACCTCCAGGCGAGTCTGAAAAATATTCGGGAGAGCGTGAAGGAGGTACGTGCCCGTTTTAGGTGTAATAGGCTTCGTGCTGAGAAATATGTTAGGAACATGAAGCGGCTCTGCGGGCCAAAGATGTGCACATTCAACAGCTCCATGCGGTACTGATGCCACGAGTTATTGAACATTTCTCTGACCTCGTTCTAGGAGAACGCCGCTCTCAGGGTTCAATTAGCTTCTTTCGCCGCAGTGAGTGGATTAAAGTCCTCTTTCATCCGAGTCTAATCTGACCCCATTCAATAGGCTGAGCGCACGTCTGACCCACGGAAGGTAAGCAACTTGCAGCTCAGAAATAGGACATCTCACAAGAAGTTCGACGACCAGCGACCGCGCCCGTCAGAAAGCGAACTGGAGAGATATACCTGGACTATGGAGCAAATTCCGCCTCCTACATACCATCCCAATCATAGTTCCGAAACCCTCGTGAAGCCAATTTGGGACATCCATGCAAAGGGCGAGTGCACGGCGGTCAGTGTTTTTCTGCCTTTGGTATTTCTTCAACGGCGCTGACGGCGCTGCAGGGCGTCAAACTGAAGAGGTTAGCCTAGGGGAACAAATGCATCCAAAATTTTCTGACTTGCTGTATGCATGCCTCCAGACAGACCGCTGACTTCTCGGGCCGCCAGAGGTGGATCGCCGAGGAAGGATCCCCAGGCCCCTTTCACGCTTTGATGTATGCGCCAACGCAGCAGTTCGATAGCGTCACAGGAACGTGGAGCGCGTACTCCGGCCTCAAACGCTTCTGCGGGGAAGAGATCGAACTCTTCGATTCCCGGCCAGGGACCCCGCATATCCACTACGTAGGCGTATATGTGTTGCGCCGCCTCCAGGAGAGTGGCGACGTAATTTCGGAGTGCCCGAACGAGGTGGTGAGACGCACATTCATCCATTTTATGTTTAGTTACTTAGACAATGTCTAGAGCCATGCAGCGATCATCGCAGCGGCCGGCGCAAAAGGCCACGAGCACCAGATCGCACTGAGATTCCCCGATGGGAAGATCCCGGTCCAGTGCTGGGGACTCGTGTGCCGCGGGTTCAATTGTCGTTTGTACGAGGAGCTTAGGACCCGGTATAAAGCGTTGAAGAACAAGCCAAACAATGTAGCGCCACGGACGGGGAAGGCGGAGGAAAGCACAACAGCGCGCCGCATGACCATATAGTGCTTGGTTATTACCTTTTCTTCTTTCGCTACCTTAGTGCGGGCGGTGAAGGTAGCCGACCTTCCTTTGGAATGATTTGCTAGCTGGCTTGATGTTTATTAATCCTAATTTTCATGGTCCCAGATGGACTCATGGCGCATGGCAGTGAAACTGATTCGAGGCTTTGGACTATCTTCCTTGTAG